AATACTCTTCTGAGGTTATATTATGAGAGACTGAATGTGCAAATAAAAAAGCAACTTTACCTCAATGATAAAATGACAGAAAAGGAAAATGGACATAAGATAATTTTTCAGTGCAGCAAAACTCCAAGTACAAAAAGTTCACATATTTAGCAATTTGGCTTTCAGAATGAGTGCTTATGAAAATACTAATGTCACATTATCAATCACAGGCAGAGGAGAAAGAACTGATTGAGGTACAGGCAGAGCAGGGTCAGTCAGATGTACAGTGTCAGGTAAGGGTGTTGTGCTTTATTGAAGGGATAATGACAATTTTTTTAGGGGTGAACAATTTTTTAAAATGTTTTCTGAGTTGTGGCTGTTTAGCAGATGAACCTCACAGGCTCACCAATTTACAATATGATCTCTCAATTTAACAAGTGTAATGTAAACCAGTTAGTTATTATGAGTATGGAAAACGTCTTTTCCTGCATTTATTCTGCTTCAGGAGTCAGTCTGTTGACTGTAAACAACACAACAAACAATGCAATAAATAGTTTTCAAGAAAAATTTGCTGTCATTGAACCTGAGAAAAACTTGGAAAATAACCAAAATGATGTAGTCTTCATGCTGTAATATGAACAATATAACCATTTTTAACTGCGGAGACATATAAGTACAATTCGGCTGTATTATTTGTGTCCCCTTCAAAAAATCTTTAAAAATTGCTCATAAGAAATATTATATTTATTGTCCCCCCTACTGTTAAATCAAATTAATGGCCATGGGCGCAGCATGAGGAAGCATCTGCAGGTATGTAAGCTAGCGTTTCTTTGTTTTATAAAAGCAAATGTTTTTGTCGTTATCGTGAGTGTACAGAAATAAAAACAGACCCTTTAATTTCTAATGATATATTATGATTTATAAAGTTATCGATTTGTGAATTTTATGGCACCAGCAGACTTCTCTGACCAAAGTGATGTTATCACATTACCAGTGTAGCTAGCTTAACTACATTTCTCAGTAGCGTCGCTAAAAAAATCAAATAGCTTTTCACAGTAGCGAAGCTATTTTATTAGTGAAGCAGCGCAGTAGTGTCCACACAAGCTACATTTACAGATCGCGGATCAATATTGTTTAAAATGTGTAACACCTGGTTTTATTGGATTTTTTTGTTTTTGCTGTTATGTACTATAATTTATTCCTGTTTGGTACAGCATATTATTTACAGTAAATAATTGAAATGAACAGTTCTGCCCATATGATTCATTGGCAGTTTTATTGATCACTAAGATGTGATTGATTTGGATTTAAGTGGCTTCGATTTAAAAATTAAAATTTCAAAAATTAGATGTATTTTTTTATTGCAAATGCCACATAAATCACCTGCACAACTAACTAACATTGTGATTTTGTAACAACAGTAAACATGTTTTTGTGATAAGGTCTGGTTTTGTGGTGGCTCTACTTTAAATTTAAATAAATTAAATTAATTTTATTTAAGTGATGAAAGCTTTTGAGATTCTAACAGTAAACAGAGCTACTGTAAGCTCACTCCTGCTCTGTATAAATGCTTGAAAATTATTTAGTTGAAAATGTTTATTAGAAAATTAAAAGTAATCAAAAAGTAATCAAATGTAATTAGTTACTTTACTTTTATAAAGTAATCGAAAATTACTGTAACTTATTACATTTTAAATAGGGTAATTTGTAATCTGTAATCTATTACATTTCCAAAGTAACCTTCCCAACACTGTAGGTTACATATACATTGCTCAACATATACAAGGACACCCCTCACAAATCTCTCTTTTAAATTCATATTTTTAATAGGAAGCTAAGGCGAAGCGGTGGCGCAGTAGGTAGTGCTGTCGCCTCACAGCTAGTAGGTTGCTGGTTTAAGCCTGGGCTGGGTCAATTGGCATTTCTGTGTGGAGTTTGCATTTTCTCCCCATGTTCATGTGAGTTTCCTCCAGGTGCTCCGGTTTCTCCCACAGTACAAAGACATGTGGTACAGGTGAATTGGTCAAGGTCAAGGTAAAATTTATTGTCTCCCGTAGGAGAAATTTGTTTTAGAAAAAAAAGGTTCTGCTGTACATCGACACCAACAAGACAACATGTAACATACATACACATTAAAATCTAATCCTAAAATACCTCCTAATATAAATATGATTCCATAAAATCAGTAATTTTAATAAAATTTTTATAAAAAAAAATAAATAAAATAATTAAAGTACCATATGCCCCACTGCCCTCTGTTGTTCAAACCAATCCTGTTATCTTAGTCTTTGACCATCCTTCCTTGCTTGCTCGTTAATCAACTTAATTGAAAAAGGAACAAAAGAATGTTTAAATCTATTATGCTTGCACAACGGGACCCTATATCTTCTGCCAGAATTCATCAGCTCATATTCCACAGACAGCACATGTGAAGAATCAGATAAAATCTTGTTGGCTTGTTGGATTGTGCACAACTCAAAGATGTCTTTTAGTGAACCAAGTGTCTTAATTCCCATGATTTTTCCTGCCACTCTCATCAGGTTATTTACTTGGGTTTTCATTTTTACTGTCAGATTCCCAAACCAAACAATAATCCCATATCTTAAAATAGACTCTATTGTTGCTTTATAAAAAGTCATCATTATGCTGCTACTCACTCCAAATAATCTTAGTCTGCGTAAAAAGTGTAATCGCTGATGAATTCTTGCACAAAGACTTGACACCTGAGAGTGCCAATTAAGTTCGCTATCAATGTTCACTCCTAAATATTTATATGAATCAACCTGCTTAATGTCTTTATCATAAACCACAATAGAGCTCCTATCACTTACTGACCTGGGGTCTATGATGACCTCCTCCGTTTTCTTAACATTAATTTCCAAATTGTGGTCATCACACCAGCTGACAAACCATTCTACAGCCGCTCTGTATTCCATGATGCTGGCATCTTTTGTGAAAAGGTGCAATAGTACAGTGTCATCGGAAAATTTAAGAATATATTGGTTTGTCTGCTGCCTAACGCAGTCGTTTGTATAGAGGGTGAACAGAAAGGGTGAACTTACACACCCTTGTGGCGCCCCTGTACTACTTGTTGCTACACCAGATAACCCTGAATTAAATTTTACCTGCTGGGTCCTGTCTGTTAAAAAAGAATAAAACGATTTAATAACAAAAGGGTTCACTTGCATTTTTACCAGCTTTTCCAAAAGTTTATGTGGTTGAATTGAATTAAATGCTGAACTAAAATCGATAAAAAGTAACCTAGCATAAGCAACTGGGCTCTCTAGATGTTTTAAAGGGCACCTATTGTAAAAAATCTTCTTTTCAAGCTGTTTGGACAGATCTGTGTGTTGGTATAGTGTATAGACCATCATACTGGGGTGATATGAACACACCCAGTCCTTTTTTTTCAATTTAACTACAAAAAAAAGGGTCGGCCAATTGGAGCTGTTTTCAAATCGATCGCACCATTACGTAGGTGTGCGATTCCCCCCGCCCACCGAATTGATTGACAGCTGCGCGTATTAACATATCCTGCGTTTGCCGTTTCCGCCATTATCAGCGTGAACGTCGAAGCGATGCCACCGAGAGAACACCCTTGTGCTATTTTAGGATGTAAGGCTCAGCACAAGAGCCTTCACCGTCTTCCTGCAAATGAGCAACAGAGGCTTAAGTGGCTGAGTTTTATCTTTGAAGACAAGGTGCCTGAAAATGTACCAAAACTGTTGTATGTTTGCGCTAACCACTTTAGCGTAGACTGCCTCGAGAACGCGGGACAATACAACTCCGGATTCGCGAGTAAATTGTTTTTGAAAACCGGATCAGTTCCTACAATACGTGATCCTGTCTCACTTCAAGTAAGTATTACATTTTATGTACTTCTAGCCTTAGCATTCTAATTATGTTAAGCCGATGAATAGCATCTGCGGCTAAAGTAGCTTCGGATGTTTGTTTGCACGTGTTTACCTCTTATTGTGCTTTTCAAAAACAGTCTGAATACTCGAAGCTGCATATGGTAACGTTAGTGTGTACATGAAGGGGGTTTAGCCATTAGGAACAGAAACCGTAGAAAAATAGCAACATTGTAAAAAGCAGTACCACTGGCTTCAGCTAAAGTTTGTTGTTGTTAAATGTTTGTTGTACTGTAATCGTAAGCCGAAATGAATAGCATCTAAAAGTTAAAAGCCGCTAAAGTTGCTTCGGATGTTTGTTTGCACGTGTTCACTGCTATTATGCTTTTCTAAAACAATCTTAATAATCGAAGCTATAAGTGGTAGTAGTGTGTACAAGAAGGGCTTTTAGCCATTAGAAACAGAAACCATAGAAAAATATAAACATTGTAATAAAGCAGTAACCAGTACTGGCTACAGCTAAAGTTTGTTGTTTATGTGGGATGTTTGTTGTAATGTGTATACTGTAATGTTAAGCAGAAATAAATAGCATCTGCGGCTAAAGCTACTTTGGATGTTTGCGCGTTTACAGCTATTGTGCTTTTCTAAAACAGTCTAAATACTCGAATCTTTAAGTGGTAATGTGTACATAAAGGGGTTTTAGCCATCAGAAACAGAAACCGTAGAAAAAATTAAACATTTTTTTAATGTTTTGTATGTGGGATGTTTATTGTAATTTTTTTCACTGTACTTGCACGTGGTCTGCAGTTGTTTACAATAAGATCGGTATGTTTTAATCAAATAAAGGTCATTTTAAAACATGTATGTTTTCTTACAAAGGCCACGACGTCGACAAAGAGCAACAAGGTGGATGTTGCTTGCCAGACAGAAACTTTTCACACATCTTTACACAGTGTTGGCACCCAGTTGTCTTTTAGGACGCTTCAGGCTAAACGCAGGAGTACAAGTAAGTTAAAATTTCTCAGTTTATTTTAAGTTGCTGCATTAGAAACGTGTTTTATTATCTTTATAAACGTGCAATGAGATTAATCATAAAATTACACTATAGGTGTCCAGACAACAATATCCAGTTTTGAACTGACTGTGCCATCAGCGTCCTCTACTGCGTTTATGACTTCGACACCCCTCAAACCTTCACTAAAAAGACCTCGTCTGGAGCTGGAGGAGGAGGAGGAGGAGGAGGAAGAAGAAGAAGCCGAAGAGACTTTGACAGAGTCAAAAATTATAGCCCAAGACTCGGATGTGACATTTGACCCTGCAGAGGAATGCACATCTGCAACTGAACCAACAGACTTGTCGTGAGTTTATGCATTATGTAAATTATTTGAAAGATTGTGTATTGTCATCATAACATTCATCATAATTTTTTTTTATTATGTTAATGTGTATATTTATTTTTACAGAATCCAAGAATGCCCAGTTCATAACATTGCCAAGTTCATTGTCTATGAAACATGCCTCATGGAGCTCTTCAGTGACTGCCCAGTGTGTCAGAGGAGATGTGATGTAGTCACAAAGGCTTGGGACATTTCTGAGCGTACAGCAAGTCTGCCCACACTGCGAGTTTGTAAGAAAATGGAACAGTCAGCCAATTATTGGTAGTACTCCAGCTGGCAACCTGCATCTTTCTGCTGCAGTCTACTTGAGCGGTGCATCATTTTTTGTAGTTGAAAAGGTAATTATCTATCAAAATTTATCACATTTTTTTTAGAAACATAATATAAATTTTGTCACAGGGTGCATGCACATTGTACTAAAAATTCTCCTCTCTGTTGTCAGGTATTTGCTGCAATGAAGCTACACATTTTTAAATATAATTCATTTCGCCGTCATGCAAGACTTTGCATTGAACCTGCTATTGTCCACAAGTGGAGAAATTGGCAGAGTGAAATGCTAGAACAGCTCAGTCGAAGAGAGAATGTGATTGTTGGAGGAGATATGAGGGCTGACTCCCCAGGTATTTAGTCAAAAGATTTAATTTCTAATTCAATACAGTCTAATTAAAAAAATAAATATGAAATACATTACAATTATTCCAAAAATGTGTTTAGAATAATTATGTACGGTTTGTTCTTGAAGGTCACTCGGCCAAGTATGGGAGTTATACAATGATGGACCTTGCAACTAACACAGTGGTCGACCTACAGTTAGTCCAGGTAATACAGAAAAGTTTTATGTGAACTAGCATAATATTTTGGATTGAAAATGTTTGATTTATATATATATATATATATATATATATATATATATATATATATTTTTTTTTTTTTTTTTTAACCTTATTTAAAATTTTATAGAGTAATGAGGTGGGTGGCAGTTACCATATGGAAAAAGAAGGCCTAAAGAGAAGCCTTGACCTGTTGGATGCCCGCGGTGTTCGTCTGGAATGCATCATCACAGACCGACATCCTCAAATACAGAAATACCTCAGGGATCGAAATGTCACTCAGTTTTACGATGTGTGGCATATCGAGAAAGGTATGTAATTTAGCAGTTATTAATTTACTTAAGATTAAATTGCTATTTAAAGTTCTTACATGTTTATTATTATTTTTGTGTTGATGTCTTTTTTTCTTTAATTTCCAGGAATTTCCAAAAAACTGGACAAGATATGCCAGATAAAGGGGTGTGAGAAGTTGCGTAAATGGTTACGTAGCATCAAAAACCACATCTACTGGACTGCTGCATCATCCACAACAGGTCCTGAAAGAGTGGCAAAGTGGACCTCTATCTTAAACCATGTACAAGACAAACATGTACATGAAGACCCCAGTTTTCCGGCTTGTCTGCATCCGCAACGGATAAGCAGAGACAAGAACAAATGGCTGTCGGCTGGTAAGTTGTATACAGACAAATAAAATATTCTTTGCGATTAAAACTAATTCAAAATAGAGCTTGTTTCATTGTTCAGATTTGTTTTTGATTTCGACTCTAATACCTTAAATTTTTGCTTGTTTAGCAACGATGCCATTCTACAAGCTGGAGAAAGTTCTCGCTAACAAGAGAATATTGAAGGATGTGGCCAAGCTAAGTCCTCACCACCAGACGTCAACTGTTGAAGCTTTCCACAGCGTCATACTGCGGTTTGCACCCAAAAATGTGGTATTCCCTTTTCTGGGGATGCTATGCAGGTAAAGCCAATGATCAGAAATTAATATTTACAATACTATACAGTCTTGTCATGGTACGTCATTTACATTTTTCTTTTTGTTAGGTTGTACTTGGCTGCACTGCATTACAATGAAAATGCCGGGCGTCCCCAGGCCACATCAGCAACTGGTAAACCTATTTACAAGCTTGCCTTTCCAAAGGCAAAGAAAGGAGAGTATAGGGTCCGAGAAGTGAAGACACAGCAAACTTTCGGTATGTATATAAATGTTTATAGTATTATTAATAATTCAATAAATAAAAAAAATAATTGCACTTTACATTCACAATGAAAACTCACTACTCAAAATACAAAATTAAGTTACTAAAGAGATAACTGTTATATTGCACAGGTTATGTAGAAGAGCTGCTGGACCTCATCTTCAACCAAGTGTTTGTGGACCCATCACCCTATGTTGATGAAGTGTTGGGAATTCACATACCACCTGCTCTATCATCAGCCTACGATCGACCTGAGATGGAGGAGGCTATCTCCAGCAGGGTGACCCGCTTCAATCAATAGCTATCCTAAAACCCACATAGCTGCCCTGCTCTTCAGGAAACTGTCTTCGAATCTTCAGCACCACACAGGCAGGAATCACAACACGGACTCTCCGCCCGAGGAAACCCCAACACCAGCTCACAAAGCTCCGATAAGCCAAAAAGCGGCACTGTCTAACAGAGACATAATAATAAAACATTGTTTTAGAAATTGCACTACAATTTGAACTTGGGAGTTATCACATATACATTTTTATTTTTTATAAAATAACTAGCTTTAACAATTTCAGAAGTCATATTTTGTTTATTCAACTGCCAATGTATATTTGATATGTTTGTATGTGTTTGTAGATATACTGTACTTTCTAATGTTCATGGACAATTGTATTTCATTCAACAAAGTGACAACTTGGAGTTTATATTTTATATTTGCACAAGGATACATTTTATATTTGCCATCACATTTTAATTTATACTTCAATATAAAGTTTTTATATGACTCAGGAATTGAAGCATCTTTTCTGAAGGGTTGATGTTTCTATGCCATACTGATTTTTATATATTTTAAGAGTTTATATATTAATGTTTAGTGAATTTAAAATTATTTTTCAATAAAAAGTACATGCATTACTCAGCCTTTTATGAAGTCATTCAAATTGTCATCTCAGAAATAGCAGCAATAAAAAACGGTACGTATTTCATTTTTATTGACATTGAGGTAAAGTTGGTTTTATATTCAGATATTCGGACATTCTCCTTAATAGTATCATTTCAGTAAAGTATTCTTTGCAAATTCAAAATAGGGAAATCGTATTAGCAGCAAATGACAAAGTACAACATTGTTTACAGTCAAGTAGATAGTTTTAATGTTGTTTACAAGTCATACTTGCATGCTAAATACGATCGAATGTTTAAACTATCATGATAAACAATACAGGGACTTCTGAATGTGCGGATATAAAACCAACTTTATCGCTATTGTATTGACTACACAGCGTTAATGTGCTTAAAAAGAAAGCGAGCATGCAGATCATGAACAAGGTAACCTGCTATTATTTCTATTTATTTAAACTCACTTTTGCACTCCACGAAGTCGCAGGGGACCATAGTCTGCTTTGTATATATTCGATGCATTTTGCAAGGAATAAATATTGAAGCAAACGGGATCCATTCCTGGATGCTCCGTCATGCACGAGGGTTGCATTTCCAGTTGATCCATTCGTCTTCTAACCTTATTACACGACACAGTTATGCTGTTTATTATCTCATTCGATGTCTTTTGAGCAGCAACGTTAACATAAACTGGAAATTTACCTGCGGTATCTCCCTGCAGCATACATTTTCAGCCTCAGTTGGCATTTTTTCACAATTGCCACACAAGCACCTGCCAATATTTGTCAACGTCAATATTCATGAATTACGAATAAATCATACCAATGCAAAATTTATCTCTGTGGATATCTTTATGTCTTGTCTGTGTTTGACGTAACGCATGACGTTCGCGAACTTTATCAAACAAATTACGGATGGCGCATGCATAGTTACATAGCGGCTGTAAAAGTATTCAAAAACATAAAATATTTTGTATGTACCACTCTGACACATTCTGGCACATTCGGATTATAGATTCCTCAACAGTCGACTCTGCTTGATCTGTGTCCGAGTCTGGGTCATATATGTAGGGTTGAATTGTGTTCCTCTCACTCATGATGACTCTTACTGTCTGCCTCTGTGATACGGTGCACAAAGCAGACGCGCTCTTGGCTCCGCCCCCTTGTTACGTTGGGCGGGCAGTCGAAACTCATTATCATGTTAAACAACACACCCCAAAACAGCAACCCGTGTACACGCCTCTAAATTTACACTTTTTAACACAGCATAATAACCATATCTGAATTGCGTTTTGATCTGAACCTATATTGGCACACTCAGAAGAACCATAATATTAGTATTAAATCTCAAAAAAGGGCTAAAATATGTGCCCTTTAAAACAAGATGTGTTAATGTGGAAATTGCATCAATAGTGCCACGGTTACTTTTGTATGCAAATTGATACTGGTCTAAGTACGGCTCAACTTCCTTGCGCAATTCTTTTATTATAATCTTCTCAAATGATTTCATGACATTTGATGTTAGGGCCACTGGCCTATAATCATTATTGTCTTGTGGACAAGGCTTTTTTGGGATTGGAATTATCACAGATTTTTTCCAGAGCTTTGGTACTGTATGTGTATCCACTGAGAGTTGAAACAGGCGATGCCAGGCTGGTGTAAGCTCCTCAGCAAATGTTTTTAGAAGAAAGCATGTAATACCATCAGGTCCCATTGCCTTACTAGAACATAAAGATTTAAAAACCTTAGTCACGTCTCCTTGATGTATTAACCTCCTTTTTTCAGCCATGTTGCAATTTACTTCCCCTAAAATTTCTTCACATTTTTTAAAATTATCTGTCTCAAATCTCATATAGAAATCATTCAATTCATTTGCCTTAACAGATTCGTTACAGGCGAATAATGCCTTTCTTTTTGGTGTCATATTTGTCATTCTCCGAATTGAGTTCCATAATTCTTTTGTATTGGACTTTAACAAATGTTGTTCAGTCTGTTCTTTATATTTTATCCTTGCACTCCTTAGTTCCCGATTAAGGTCTTTTTGTGCTGCTCTAAGCCCCACGGTATCACCTGCCCTAAAGGCCAATTTCTTCCTTTTAATACAGCTTTTAATTCCCCCTGTTATGTATGGTTTGCTGTTCGGATAACACTTAATGGTTCTCTGTGGAATGATAGAATCCACACAGAAAGAAATATATGCTGTGATAGTTTCTGTAACAGTATCTATATTTGCATCCTGATAAAACATGTCCCAGTCTGTGCAGAGGAAACATCCCTTTAGCTCCTCAATACTTTCATTTGACCATGTCTTCATGACCTTAGTCGTTGGTTTACTTGTTTTGAACACAGACCGATAAGTAGGAAGGAGATGGATAACGTTATGGTCCGAGTTACCAAGGGGGGGTCTGGCTTTGGCAACATAAGCATCATTAATATTGCCATAACACTTGTCAAGAATATTCTTTTTCCTTGTTCCACACTTAACATATTGAAAAAAACCTGGTAAGGATTTTTCCAGTCCACACTGATTAAAATCACCAAGAATCAAAAAGGGTGCATCAGGTTTGTTTTGTAAGTGCTTATGAACACAGTCAGCTATTTGGTTTGCAGCTCTGATAGCATTCCCACTAGGTGGGATATAAACTGCACAAATAAATATGTTAGTAAATTCCCTTGGCAAATAGAACGGACGTAATGTGACGCACAAAAGTTCCAGGTCAGGGTTGCAGATGCTTTCTCTTACCGCAAAATTTCGACACCAACGATCGTTGATATAGACACAGACCCCTCCCCCTCTTGTCTTAGCGGAGTTCTCGTCTCTGTCCAAGCGAATATGGGAAAAACCGTCGACTTGTATTAAGCTTTCCGGTACTTCATTACACAACCATGTTTCAGTGAAAACCATGAGACCAGACTCACGGTACTCGAAGCAAGCTCCCGCTTGCGTGCGAAGTTCATCCAGTTTGTTCTTCAGTGAGCGTGGATTACAAAGAATCACTGGCGGCAAAGGAAGTTTAGAAGCTCTCCGGACCCGCTGTCTGACGCCGCCTCTCCCGCCTCGCTTCCTGATCCGACCCGAAACGCGCCTCGGCTGCCTCAGTAGTTCCTCAGGTAAATCCATCTCAAATCTGGTGGGTGACAGTCCTCCGCAACTCCGCAAATCCAAAAGCTCCGTTCTGCTATATCGCTGAATTTTGTCCAAAACTCCTTGCGCCACACAGCTAGTCAGAATTAGCCATGACACGACAAGCAGTTTTTTGTTTATCAATTCACTCGAATCACTCCTATACGACCAGCAGTTTCCATCTCTGCCTCCGCGCAGGAGTTTAATTGTCCAATATATGAATAAAAAACTAAAAACCAACATATCTGACAGGTACAACAAAGACAAACAAGTAAAGTACAGCAAGCACCCCTTTCCACGTCGCCAGCAGAGCAGCGCCATCTTGGATTTTAAAAAGAATTGGGTAAGCTTAATTGTCTATAGTGTGTGTGTGTGTGTGTGTGTGTGTGTGTGTGTGTGTGTGTGTGTGTGTGTGTGTGTGAATGGATCTTTCCTAATGATGGGTTGCAACTGGAAGGGCATCCACTGCGTAAAAACGTGCTGGATAAGTTGGTGGGTCATTTCGCTGTGGTGACCCCAGATTAATAAAGGGACTAAGCCGAAAGAAAATGAATGAATGAATAATAGGAAGCTATTATTGCTAGTATATTTGTGCATATAGATTAGATTAGTCAGTACTTAAGCCGAATCTGAAGCTCATCTAACAATATAACTTACGATAAATGTCCAAAAACTAGTAGACCTAAATTTATATGTTATAAAAAATATTAAATACAATTTAAAAAAAAAAAAAGGAAAAATTTTTATTTATTTATTTATTTAAAATTTTTAAACAGGAAAAGATTAAAAGATATTTGGGCCTGACTCAGCATGAATGCTGTTTTTCAGCAGGTTCCTGCTCTGCAGAACATAAAAACAGACAAACATCTCATCCATCAACACAGTACAAACAATCACCAAACATTTAAGCTAAAGAAAAAAAAGCAGGCTACTATCTCAGTGGCTACAGCGATAGTTGACCATCAGATGACGATCATGGGATTTCTTAAAAAGTCTCAGTGTTGGTATTGTTTTGAGATGTTGTGGGATCTCATTCCAGACTCTTGTGAATACATAAAAGAAAGATCTCTGTCCATAACAGTTTTTAAAAGCCGGTACTGGCAAACATCCATTTGTTACAGATCTGGTGGAACGATCAGTCCTTGAGTTGAGTTTAGGTACCAATGCACAAAGGGCTGCTGAGGTAGAGCTATTTAAAATTTGATAGTACAGTTTGATGCCTGTGTTCATAATGTAGTTTTGAAATGTTAAAGCTTTAGAAAGTGATAGAGCAAAACAGTGATGTGTCCATCCAGAAAGTCTGTTGTATATCTTATAGGCCCTATTGTATAGTCTAGCTATTGGCTCCAAGATATCATTTGTTGTGAGAGACCAAATAGGCAGACAGTAAGACAAGGTAGACAAGATTATGGCATGCAGATAAGTTTCTGAAACAGAAAAAGACAAATTTGTCCTAATTTTGCCATAAACAAATAGCTTTTGTTTCAGCTTTTTATAAACATTTTGAACATGGTTACAATAAGTGAGGTGAGAGTCCAGACTGATTCCCAAATATTGATATGTGGATACAATGGATAGTTTTTGATTTGAGAAAGTGAGGGGATAAGATATGGATATTTTTTTCCTAGGTGAATAAAAGTACATACACTCTGTTTTCTTAACATTAATAGTCAAATGATTGTCTTGCAGCCACTCATGTAAATGCTGAAGATCTGTATTTAATTTATTGTTAATTGTGTCTGTACTTGATCCAGACACAAAAAGTACAGTGTCATCTGCATACAATAAAGAATCTGAATGTTTAATTACCTGAGGGAGGTCATTGATATACATCAGGAAAAGTAAAGGTCCCAAAATACTTCCCTGAGGAACCCCCATAGAATAACCTAATGCCTGGGAAATTGTTGTACCAATTTTAACAACCTGAGATCTATTGGATAAATATGATGAAAACATATCTATTGCAAAAGAAGAGAGATTAAATGAGATCAATTTGTTTAAAAGAATATTATGATTAACTGTATCAAAGGCC